TTTTTTTTCTTGAACTCCGATTCTGCACGATTTTGCCCCCCTGCTTCAGGGCTAAAGTAAGAGGGTACAAAAAAAAAGTGCACAGGGTACATTCAAGTACTCAATGAGTACAATCCAAACCAACAAAAAAAAGTTAGATTTTTCAAACTTCGATGCCAACTTCACATAGCTCGTTTATCTCCCCCCATGAGACTTGAAATTGATTATCCGAGTTCAATAAATAATATGCAACCAAACGGCTCGACAATTCTATTTTTTTTCATTGTCCATTGCACGAGTTTAAATGAAGATTTTGATATTTAAAAGAGGAATCCAAAATTCAAGAAGAAAAAATATTATTCCATCCGGATAAGGCTGAAACGTTGGCTTTCATTTTTCCCATCTACGGATATACCTTTCTACGCTCGTTTGTTTAAACAAAAAAAAAGACAATTGTATGAAAAATGAAACAACGAAGGGATTGCGTGCAAAGGGGCTCAACTCCTCCCCCAGATAAGTCTCGACTGATCAAGATTCGTTACTCCACTCTATATTTGGACGAGTACACGACAATGGATACATTCGCCATTTTTATTCTCAATAGGCATGTAAATGCGCACATAAACACGTAAATGGACATGGAGAGATGCCGATTAAGGCTAATCGAGGACAATTGTTCGAGCTCGAAGAGGGGATAGATAAGACGTGTTTCACATATTTGGAAATAATGAGAGAAACCTCTCATTTCCTGTCATCTAATTTTCATATTATTCAACAGTGATACGATAAAACTCGATAACTGGACTAGTACCCTTATAGCTCCGAATTATTTATAATAATAATAAAATGATTATTCCAGTAGGGAAGAGACGAAAGGTGAAAAGCCAAACGATAACAATAAACATCCCGATGAATATCTCTAGAACTAATAGAGATAGTAAAATTCTTCGAAGACATTTTCTGCAGATCTCATTCCCCTCTACCAATTAACTCTCGACCTAAATTTCGCTATCCCCCGTAGATTTCGAGATATCTCGCAATAACTCGACAGCAACGTGAATTTATGGACTTCAATTGTGAAACGAACGATTTCCTGTGAGAAAATTGAGACGTTTGATCGAGATTCGAGTCTAATTATGCAATTGATATGATTGATTGGGCGAATTTAGTAATTGTTTTCAGGTAAACAAATATATTTATGTGTGGAATTTTTCAGTGATAAATCGATGGAGCGATTATGTTTCCAGACAAAATGTCTTGGGGCAAATCCCTTGGGCTCTACGCCAATGTAAGTGCCTAGTACGGAGACTCAGGGGAGATAGGGGAAATAGGGGAAAACTAGGGTGGGGTGACCTTAGTTAGGGGTGGAACAGTAGGGGATGCTTTGGGGAGAGATTTAGTACCAACTTCATCTCTCTCTCTACCCTCGATGGGTTACACGCTCGGAGGGTGTCTCCTGGAGCTTGAAATATATATTTACTGATAAAGCAATAGAAAATGTTGGAACGTTGAGAAAAAAAAAATTGTGGATGAGGGCATCTGGAGAAACTTCAAAGGCCACTTGTGGGCGGAGAAGGAAAAGTCAAGTAAACTCGAGAACGTGAGGGCTTTTACGGAATGAGAGGGCCATATGCCAGTTTTGATTTTTCCCCATTATTTTTTTAAATTATTTTCACCCAAAAAAATCCACGAACTACCCGGAGGATCAATCATACCGATTGCATGAGCTGACGTAAATCGTTTGAGACGTCAAATCCATTTCTAAATTATCCACGCTACCCTGAATTAATTGAATAATTATTCCCATTACTTAATTTAAAACCCCAAATATTAACCCCCACATGATCACAAACCCGAGATAATGTAAGCGAATGGGAATTTCTGTTTGTCCAATGTACACAAAATCCCAGAATCCACAATGAGGGGTTGAAATTTGTTTGCCGAGATCAGCAACACAAGCTGGAAAATTCTATGGAATAGAATGATAAAACTACAAGATGAAAAATTTTTATTGAAAAATTGCCACTGGCGAGAAAAAGTTGAAATTCACCGACAAATTGACAAAAAATTTTCCACGAGAAGAAATTCCTCAAAAATCACTCGATTGACGAAAAAATAAAAATTCCCTTGGGACAAACAAATGGAAATTCTCCCAACAATATTAGTACAGAAACGGGGATTATAAAAACAAAGAAAAATAAAACAGATAGTCTTGTGGGCTTTCTCGAAGAGGGTTCGGACGTGTAAATAAAGTCACGCACGCAAAACAAACAGGAGACTAACACAGATACACCAACGATTTTACGACGTTAAACACAACTTTGTATTTTCACCCGCAGTCTTATAATTCCCCCATGTCTCTTTTATTCTCCATGAGGGGGGTATTTGCCACATAAGTGTCACGTACCGCCGCGTGTAATACATCTATACTTATCGGTTTTGTCTAGAATCTATCGTAAAAAAGGAATAGTTCATACATTTCCTTCAATAAATCGAAAAAACCCAGAGAATTCCTCGGCCAGAATAAATCCAATTTTCTATCATTCTTCAAATAAAATTGATAAATTTTCCGAAGATTAACCCTTTCAAATTAAATGATTAAAAATAATAATAATTACAGAGAATTGATATTCATCCCTGATGAATGGGTAAACGAGGAGTAAGGGCTCTGAATTTTATCCGAAAGAAAAAAATAATGTGGAATTCGAATTGGTACTCGAGATGATCCCAACAATAGCCACAGGTCACGTGTCTTTTGGTTATGGTGAAAGAAAAAAAAAAATCGTGTACTCGTATCCTCATTGAAACCATCGGATATACTTCACCCCAAAACCCACCCAGAATCTCACCGAGGATTAATGACACCCTCGTGAATTCAAACTCCCTCAATTAACATATGAATATACGATTTATGGTCTACATCAGCCTCTCACGTGGAAAATTTTCACCAATTTTTTTCACCATCTCCCTCCACTCTAACAATTTTGAGACTCACTCGAGTTTAAAATTAGCTGTGAAAGCGGTTACAATTTATTCACGGTTCGACGGACATTTTGTATAACCAAAAGTGGAGGGAGAGAAATGGATGAGAACGAGGGGGTAAAATAGTCTTCTGGTCCATTTGATGCCATCGACACCCACTAGATAAACCACATGTCACTTGAAGAATTATTCAACGAAACACGATGGTGGAATCAATCAAATATATCACAACATTATAATTGAATAAAATCGATAATTATTATCACGCATTCACCGATAACGCAGTCTATCTGATTCGACGACCCAATTATACTATCGACATTGCGATAGCCCCAGGTTGCCATACATAATTTATTACGATAATCCTGGGGCGTTTGGAGTAGTAAGCAATTCCCATAAACCATATAACAAATGTATATAGGATCGAACCGGTGCTATTCTAGTGGATTTGGTATTCAAGTATTTTCAAATGATGGGTTTGAATACGTGAGGGGAAACAAGTCAAAAATACTCCCTCTCCATAAATCAATCTCCAATTTTAAACCAAAAAATTCCCCTGAATACTCAATTAAATAATTAATTCATATGTAATCAGAATAAAATTAATCCCAGATTTTATTATTGACGTTTGAAATTGCACTAGCGATGAGTTTGTGAGAAATGAAGAATTTTTTTATGGAGTCCGAGTTAAATAGAGATGCCTCAAGTGAGAATATCAGGAAATACCCCTAGAGAATGTTCGTGGGGTTGAAAAAGTGCTTGAGATTGGTTGAAAGTGGTCGAAGAGAGAGTACAAGCCTCTGAGTACACAGAGGGCTACACCACCAGCAACAGGTGTCCGTCAAACATAAACCGAGCCAACTAGGCACGCGATATTCTTCGGTAATTGATTTGTCGGTGTTGATGAGTACCTAGATGACCCCAGAGGCCGATCTAGATCTCCCCATCCCCCGCTATCTCCCCCCAAAGTCATCGACTCGGTAAAAAAAATATATAAACGAAAATTTTCAATTGAAAAACAATGAAATAAACTCTCGAGCCATCAGTCAGATAATTTGACGGTTGGTGATAGCTGGAGTTTGACGCGGGGGTAATGTATCTCCGCGTGTTCTCCCTTATTTCGTTATTTTTTTTTTGTCTTTTTTTTTGTAAACTGGTGTTTGTGCACTACGAGAAATTCCTCGAGGCCACGAATTAGTGTGAAACGAGCCAAGGGGTTTCTCTACATTCGGGTGGAGTTTCGAGGGGCTACGGTCTGGTGACCACAGCACGCGACACCATATGGTGTATCCCCCCCAGTATTACCGCTATTCTACGCACTCCAAGTTTATCCTTTTCTTTACATTTCTTCAGTCAATCCTACCTGGATAAATTTTTATCCACAATAGACTTGAAAACAGAAATTTTTTGCTACCAACTTCGATGGTATAAAACCGAATTCGGAAGATTCGACTACATGACGAGAGAATACGAGAAGAATTCATTTTCGGATTTATTTGACCTGGAATTCAATTCCTCAGCCGGACGAAAAAATAAATTATTTCGTAAGAATCTCTAAAAATGATTTCCTCTACTCGTTCGTAAATAATTCCTAATTATCAATTGCGGAATTAGTCCTAATTTTTTTTCCCATCGATCTCTCAAAATGAAACCTAATGTCCTCCACATTGATGAAAAAAAAAAATGCTCACACTCATGGGAAAGTTTCACTCGACTTCCTCCATCCGTTAAACCGATTAAACTCCCCCTATCTAATCCCCGAAATAACTGTCAAATAGTTTGATTCACTCACCCAATGCTGCGTCGTCACCACTTCGCTCTCCGTTCCCTCCAAATTCTGCAAAAAAAAAATCACCGAGAAAAAGTCTCATTACTTCAATTATCGTAAACCACTCGATGATCGTCATCGAGGTATGATTAACGCGAACACGTGTCCATAAAAACACGAAATACGACTCTAATCAATCTGTGTGATATCGATTTCTCGCCAGTTAACGGGATTAAAAGAAAGGAAAGAAAAAAAAAACATGGAATAAAAACAGAGTGAAAATTATCTGAGATTAAACTCGTCTGTTAGCGTCAAATCGTTAAACGTTGACTCATGTTCTCACAACTTTACAATTCTCGTGTTATACTCACGTCTTTCTTTCTCCTGACAGCAGCGGCGCCTGCAATTATACAAATTTCATACATTTTTTTAATGACAGGAATTATTGCTGACCGTTTAGACTACGAGAATCTCAACACACGGTAGAAAATATTTAACGTCAATAAGAATTATTTAATGAAGAAACAGAAATGTATTTCTTATCTCTACTATAAATACATGAAGTGAGATAAATGTGAATGTCAATTCACCGGAATTACTCGTTTATCTCGAAAACTATCGATCTGAGGTGAAAATGGTAGAGGACTGTCCCGAAGCTCATTGAATTTACAATAAAAAATGTCTCTTCATGTTTCTTGATAAAATTGATAATTTTCAAGATCAATCGATATTTAGCAGAACTGCAAAATTCAACTTTTTCATCTTTACCATTTTGCTACCGATTTATACTTTGTTTTATAATTAATAAAGGAGGAAACTCGTCTGAGATATAAAACCGTAAAAGTATCAATGAGTAAATATTGAATCGATTACTTGAAATTCTTATCTCTACTCTGATACATTACATCCAGTAGCGGTAAAACGGTGCGAGTTGATTTTCAGTGTCGTCATGTTTTCAACGAATATCTCAAAATCGAAGGCTGACATCGAAATTTTCATAATAACCTTCTTTGTAGCTCTGCATAATCGCAACAGAAAAGGTTGATAGAAAAAAATATCTATCTCCATCAGATTCAAAGATATTTGTTGATAAGTGAGTCAAGTCCGAGTTGAGGTGTGAGAAAAATGATTTCTGGGATAAAAATCAGTTTTTTCGTCGTGGGGATAAATCGGGATTGATGGGATCGTCAGGGAACAATTGTTTTACAGTATGTCAAATTTATAATAAATGCAATACTTACCGGCGGATGAATTGGGCAGGCGTGCAGTGTTGCCGGTAGGGGTTGTAGGATTTGATGCTGGGGTTGGAGTTCCAATCGAGGGTGGAACCCCTCTAGTACCAAATGGAAAATACGGCGAGTCAGGGGAATAAGTAGATCCCTCAACTGAATTAACATTACCCCCTCCACTAGCATACGTCTGTAACCGAGAGAAGAGAGAAAAATAATGAGTTTTACTCCGATATAGGGTCAATCATCGGCCCAATAAAACAATTTTTGAATATACCAATGCGGGAGAAAATTTCGAGGTACTTCGTATGTTTTTCCTGACGCGAACGATAAATTATTGGACTTTAAATATCAATCGATAATACGCCACTCTTATCGGTTATGGCGTCTGACGAATTCCGATTAGATATCACCGTTTGATACCCCAAGAAAAATTTCAATTTATGTATTACAATTTGATAATGGAACGAGAAGAATTCAAATAATTTTTGACATTAAAAAATATTGCTAATAAATACCTCACCGTATAATTGCAATACGAAAAAATAATAAAAACAGTAATGCCCGTTATAAAATATACTGGCGAAGAAAAAAAAAAAATTCAATCCCGATATTATCCCGTAGAACCCTCCGACGTAATCCGAAAACTTTGGTACAAGCGATATATTTTCACAGAGTGGCTCTCAATTCTTCCTCCTGGTCCCCTCAACTCCATCACTATTTTCCCCCATTACAAAAAAATACATTCGCAATAAAAATTGCCCTGAATGACGTAATGCACCAAGAAAACGTCATAATAACCAGAAAAAAACATTGAATAACTCGGAAAATGGAGATATCGAGAGAATTAATGACTCGATTGGAGTTGAAAGCCACTGACCGCAAACTTTAATATCACTTACGCCCTCCCGGGGCGATGTATCTATAAGTATATAGAGGTGGAAATACAGATATAGTGGATGTTATGTTGGGTGGAAGTACATGTATAAAACAAAGCGAGTGAACCCCTAACGTAAGAGGGAGGTGGGGTTAACTGGCCCGGATGAAAAGTTATACTGAAGTAAGGATAAAGTCTACGTTATACTGAACGTCTTTGCAAATCCAACTCGAATTATTATCCCACTATTTATTCACCCCCGGAATTATATAAAAAAAAATAAACAAATTCTCAACGCAGCAAAGTACAAGAGAAAATTATTTAATTCCAAGAATATTCACAGAACTTTCATTATTTTTCTATCAATAATTAAAATAATGAATGAGAGGAGCATTGCATATCATTGAATAATAATAATCCTTGTTGTTACTATTAATTCTGGGAATTGCCATTTTTTTTTGCGAGTCATAAGTGAAAAATCGGTAACCGAAAAAAATGTCAAAAAAATCTCTGGGGGAGAATATCTCCGAATGTGAGCGAGATTGAAAAAATTTTGTTATTATCTTTTTTGTACCTGTCAATCCGCTCTACAAAAAAGGTAATAACAAAAATTTCATTATCTCCCTTATATTCGTAAATATCGCCGACCCAATGACCATTACCAGATGAAAAATTCGTAACTTCGTTTTTCAGTAAAGATTTATTTATTAGTAAAAAAAAAATGTAACTACGCACCATTCCATTGTCCATAGTATTGCCATAGGGTGACTGGAAGCCCGGTTTTTCTGCAACAAAAAGAATAGACTGTTACGTATCTCAAACTGAAAAAAAAATTTGAGGAAGCAAAAGAATTTTGCGCCCATAAATCAGAGGGGGGGACGGATAAAAATTCGGAAATTCAGGTTCTGGCACATGAGTTCTCCCTTCTTTTGAAGAATTAATGCCAGCATAAACTGGCGATGCGTCTTTATAAATCAAGTTCTCTAGTTTTTGTTTTTGCTCGGTTGTGCCGCATGGAATACGGTATCAGTATATCGTTGCAGTATCGGGACTTCATACGATATTAATAGGGAGATATCCCTCCTCCCCCTCCCAAGGATACACAAACGTGAATTTATGGTCGCTATGTGATTGCTTATGCTTTTATTTTTTCCCTTCAATATTTAATGACGAGATAAATCTAACGAATGCACGAGGATTTGTGCTCGAGGGCTGTCTACCGATTCCTCTGTCCAGGGAAAAATAATCAGGGGCGTCAGCAGATAAAACCGGATAATTAAATAATTTTCTTCAAAAAAACCTGGTAAAATTGAATTTATCCCAAGTGATGCCAAGAAAAAATATCAGCTGGGGGTCAAAGACCAGACGTTATTCAATACTCAATCCATTATCGACGCAACGATGAACATTGTCTACCGTAACCCAATAACTGAAGAATTTTCGGATGAGATTTTTTGCTGACGACATGCGGTCAGCGACAGTAAAATGAAGAAAGTTAATGAAACATTCTTCTATGTTCATAGACATCTCCGTTACAAGTAGAAGGTATTAAAAAATTTATGGCATTTTGCCGCGCTTTGGCGGTGAAAAAACTAGATTTACATAAAAAAAAAGTACTTCCTGCAAAGAAGATTGACCCCATGCAATGAAATCCCTTCTGAATCGTCAAAATTCGATAAATCTTTCATCTTATATATAATACGACAAACTACTTAATTAATTCACTGGAATAATCAACTTGTTGCCACGAAATTGATTTAATCAGGGAAAATAATTTGTCGAATAAAATGGAATTTATGTCAGTGGAGTATTTCCCACATTGATATTCATTAACACGAGTGACAACCGAATTTTTCCCACAGACTATTGAAAATTGATTTGATCCAATGACGTGTGAATAAATTGAGGGAGGAGTTGTACAAATATATCACATTTTGTGGGGTAAAAGGGGAGTATGTCCTGAGGATGACGTGATCGTACCTCGGCCTGTCCTTTGATGCATGATATTGCCGAGAGTACGTCCACGGTTCGGCGAATGTGTCACGTGCAAAGCCAAAACTGTTAGGATTCATAGTTATCTGAGCAAATGGTAACCCTGTGTTGAACGGTTTTGACTAGGGTGGACATAAATTCGAGGTACGCCCTCATTCAGGTCTTATCAAACTTTTGAGATACAGCTGATGGCACTGGAGATCTGTCCCTTATCATATTCTCAATTCAAATATCACATCAACTCCACCAACCACCAATCATGGATTATTAGTGAATATTCAATTGAATTCAATTGATAAATGAAAAATATATTTATATTATTCGGATTCCTCAAGGCAAGAGGATCACAGGTGAGTTTTCAAAGGCGGTTTACCTTCGGATTTAAATCGCCTCACCTGCCCAACAAATACCAGTACTTTCCAATGCATCGTACATGTTTTTTGAGAGTTGTCGCGATAAATCATTGAGTTAAATTTTAATCGAGGGTATATTCATTTCTCTGAGTATCTCTCGAGATACCGATGTATATTTACTTTTCAATATTTTCAACTTGTATACAAAAAGAAAAAAAAAAATCGTGACTGCTCCGTTATTTTTTCCGTGACACTCTGGCCTCAAATTTTCATATTTCATTATATTTTTTATTATTACATTGAGAAAATATGAATTATTTAGAAAACGTGTATTTTGAGGGGAAGAAATTTAGCAAAATAGCCGGATATTCTTAACAGATAACCCTCGAAAAATAAGAGAAACCCCAGGGCGAAAGAGGAAATTCAACCCCAATGGAGTGACGAGGGGTTATAGACAGAATAGAAACTCCAGAGAGAATATTTCCAAGGGCTCAGGTAGCCATTGGTGCTCAACCAACCCTGAATCCAACTCATTTGATTTTACAATGGTCCAACTGAGGATGAGGGGGAGGAGGAATAAGGGACGAGTAGCCAAAACCGGACCCTTTTATAATCGAGGATGAACGACCCCGGTCAAAAAATTTGTAAGGAGCAGCTTGCATTTTTATGGGATATATACACCACCAGAAATACTTGTATCCGGCCATTTCGATTGATCGATAAAAAAAAAAAAACGGAAAAGAAATGGGTGGAGGTAGACTACGTCAATATGAAGTCTAGGGAGATTTCTTTTAGATAGTCGAGAGGTTTTTTTTTGGGCGGAAGAGGGGCTGGAAATAAGTGTAAGAAGAGATTAGAGGGGTCTCTCAGAAAACACTGGCTGTGAAAATTGTTTGTTGCTCCGGGAAAAATAAATATTTCACGAAGAATTGGAGAATTTTAATAATCCAATTATCTAATTACTCTGGAATGGTCGAAACCTTTAAAAATCAAACAACTCCTTTCGAATTCAGTAGCAGTCAGAAATAACATCCCTGACAGTTCTATTAAATATCGATTTTCGGATAAAGTATTGATTTGAGGTAGAAATGTGAAGAGACCTTTTTTGTCTGAAATTTAATTGGCTATAAAAAATTCTCCATACGTTTCCATCTCAAATCAATAATTTTCGGGATAAATCGTTAATAACAAAAATCAGTGAATCGTCGCTGTTACATTTTATCACTTCTCTCTAACTTCAGTTTCCGAATGAAATAAAGATAAAATATTATCGAAATGTTGCCAGCACCCAAGTATTATTGTGAAATGAAAAATCCCCCAGGAATAATCGAGGACAAACAAGTGTAATTAAGAAGTAAAAAAAAAACTGAATATTGCCAACTTTCGATTTAACCGTGATGTTGCCATTTTTGGGTCTCGTCGATTCACTTCGGGTCCCCCACGGGGTATTGAGGCACCCCGGTACGATGCACTCGGTTAAAAAGAGAAAAAAGAATCGAGGGGAAAAAAAAAGGAGAATATCAAGTAGAAAGGAAGAATGGGAAGGAAAGAAGATCCGGACGTGGTTTTTTCAGTTGTGGAGCCGAAATGCGAAGGTGTATTCAAGGTGGAAGGCCGCCTGCCACGCGACCAGGTACCCATAGTAGTGGTGGGCTACTCCGAACTCTCGAGTTTTCTTAGGAATTTTTACCATTGGAAAATTTGATATATAATGAAATCGGAAAAAATTCAAAAATCAAGAAAAACCAAAAACCCGGGGGCATCCACTTTTTTTTCCGAAATCCAAAAAAAAAAATTATTCCTAAAAAAAAACTTGATTTAATCCCAACGGGAAAGTCATTCCCATCAATTACCTATCAATACTCAATTTTTAAAAACAAATTACCCGTGAATTAAAAAATTAATAAAAATGTATATGTATAAAATATTTTGATTTGTATAATTAAATGAATGAAAACAGGAATATTCCCCTCGACAATGTTCCCAATTAAAACAATAATAATAGAAAAAATAGAGACTGATAAACAATAGGATATAAATAAATTCCGTTATGTTTCGATAAATTCCCATGAGCACCCCGGGCCAGTGCAGACGAAGGACAGAGGGAAAAGAGAAAATAAAGTATAAAAAAAAAGGAAAGAAAAAAAAAATGATCGTCCGTTGCACCGTTCGGGAGTAAAACGGAATGCGTACGTGTATTTCGTGGTGCCACGCGACCAGAAAGAGGCAGTGGGGATAGGTGGACTTCATGTACACATGAAGTAAGGAGGGGGAAAGCACACATATATGTATTTTTCAAATGTGAAAAAAAAAATAGGGGCGAGGGGGGAAAAGGGGGTGTGAGGGGGATACCGCCGCAGCAGCTGTCGTTTGCCCCCCCTTTACGTTACACTAGAAGGGGCCCACCGGAGGACACTGGCGTAGGGCATGAGGGCCCGGAGTCCCAGACAGTGGCTCTCAAAAATATTCTCCAAATCCCCCCCGATCACCGAAATATTTACCGCCCCGGAGAGGATGTACTATTTTTTTTATTACGATTGGTATCACTCGTAGCTATTTTTCAATTTGATTTTGTTAATTTATTTGGATTATATTGTGGGTTAATAAGGGATTTGGGAAAGGGCACGAATTGAGCCCTGGGATATGTATGGGAATAATAATTTAAATGGCGATTATAATTATTTCTCTGGGTGAGTGGAAAATCATTGGATTGAACTGAAATTCGAGAGCTAATGTGATATGGAAAAATTATTATTGTTCACCGATGTTTATTCATGTGAATTCAATTTTTAATTGAATTTCACTCGACCGGGAGGCAATGGAAAGAATGCCCATGACATTTTTCAGTCCGAATTCGAAATGAAAAAAAATCCCAAGAATACATAATTATTTTGAATATCAAATTATCGAATCACCATTTAATTTCAAAATTAAATAATATCCCCCAGATCGTAAGAAATCCATTCGCCAACTGAAATATTTTCGATAAAATCAATGAAACGAGTGACGCACAGAGATGCGAAATCGATTAGTGATTAATAAAGCGTGCAAGCGAGAAAACAATCAAGGTCGTATTGATAGCATAAAAAGCTGATGAGTACCGAGACTGAGGCCAGAAAAACCCGAGACAAAAAATAAAAAGAGGAGAAAAAAACATTACGTGAGAAATGACAAAGTCAACCCCCGCAGATCAGGGGGGGAAATAAAAATTGGTGATTGATTTTCGGAGGATATTACACAAGGTCCAAATGAAGATGATAATGACAGGGTGGTCGTTGATTTAACAAACGCAAAACGCAAACGCGTGCCATGGCACGTGACCCGCACGTGTCCGTTTCGTTGTCGTCGTCCCCTCCACCTTTTTCCCTCCTCAACTGGACTGTACCTCACTGAGTACCTCATCCTCCCCAAACTGTTTATTCCACGGTGCATTGCCCCCCTCCCCCTCTCTCTCTCTCCCCACCCACCCTTCATTGCAATTTTCATTCACGTGCCATTTCTGATGAAAATCTCACCCTCGACTCCACCTCATCCCAATTATTTCCCCGATGAACTTTAAATCACACTTCTAACTTCAACTTATTCTTCAATTAATTTCTCAGATAGTCAATTAATTTTTCATTTACCGTGCGACAATGGAAACCGGAAATAGTGAAATTTTCTCCGCCTGTTGATTCCGAGAAAACGATTTTTTTCAATTTTTATGGAGTAAAAATAAAAATGAAATAGTAACGCGAATTGCGACCGGAAATTTCATCCGCTGAATGGCACGTTCGGTACCCCTCCCCCCCCCCCCACCCGCCCCCTCGATATTCCGCGAAATAATTCCCGGATCGAGTGAGAAACTCCCGATGAAAGAAAAACCACCTGTTAAATGAGTCGGAAAAAAAAAATGTAAACACCGAAAAAGACCTTCACTGGGGGTTGTTTTACTTGTTCCATATGCGGGCCTTCGAAATCTCGCCAGATGTTGGCTTTCCAATGTGGCAGGTTCGCACAGGTGTCAATTTAACCCTCGGACAGACCCCTGGGTGCAACGAAATTACTCGAAAGAAAAAAAAAAATCGAAAATTCATTATTCCGGAAGTGACAATGGCCCGTCCTGATTTTTCATCATCTAATTGATTCTTATCACTTGGGAATGTCAAATATTTACGTGACTCCTTCGTTATTCCATCACCGTATCAATAATTATATAACTATGATGAATTCACACATGACCATCATTTCTCTAATCAATAAAAATTGATAACGAGCGAAAAACGTATCATCGGATGTACGAGGAACTTCCTCTCATTCCAATTATAATAAACTCTATGAGATTTCGATGAAATATTCTGGAATACATGGAATTATGATTATATACTCGAAGAATTTTTATAACAAAATAAAATGGATTGTAAAACGAGAAAAGTTGATCGATTTGAATGAGCAACTCTACGCCATTGAGATGAGAATACTCGGATATATGGTATACTATATACCATATACCCTATGGGGTGGCAGAGACCCATGAAGAGGCCCAACTCTCCAACGGACCCCGAAAAAAAAATATCCTCAATCCTCTCCCTCAAACCCAGGAAATTCATTCAGAAACATGAATTAATAATAAAATTGTTTACAACGACTGAACGGGAGAAAGAAAAAAAACCCTTTCCCGCTGGTGTATGTAATTAAAGTAATAAGAAGAGCCTGGAGGTTGCAAAAATACGTAATTCTCAAAAGAGGTGAAAGCTACGAGGTCTGAGGGAACAGATGTTCCCCGAGGACGTACTTTTCGTTATTGAAGGGACGTTTGTGTAGGTGGCACCACCAGACCAGGAGATACACCCGGACTATTTCGAAAATTTATTTATCCCATTACGAAAAAATGGGATACAAAGGTATTTTATATAAAAAAATAACCATCCCCAAAATTTGGGATAGATGGATAATGAATTCAGTTCTCCCAATTTCTTTCTCCTTTTTTACGGAAATAAACCAAATTCGAATGAAATTGCCTGTAATTATTTATCGCCTGCCCTCGAAAAAATTCCAACAATTTTAACCACTCGTTTATAATTCTATAGACGTGTGCGAGGCGCGTGTGAGAGGTATCTGGTAGTGGGGATGGAGTTAAAAAGAATTCATGGAGAAAAAAAAAGAGAGGAGAGAAGAGAAAAAGAGAGCTATAGGCAGGTGCATCACGGTGACACTCCCTCGGGTTTATTCCTTGGAAGTGAGAGGGGCCTAAGTCACCAGTGGATGTTGTGTCTGGACCTCGTTTATGGTCCAGGGCTGAAACTTTCAAGCTGAATCGCTAATTTTCATGATCTACCGTCCAAAGTGAAGAGAAAAACTACCTCTCAGTTCCATGAAGCTGGGGGGAGGAAAATTTCCATCTAAATGTCTCAGAAATTTTCTGGAGTTGATGAGAAAATTCTAATTAAGGTCTCCACCGCAAACTGTCAACAATTATCATGATTAGCAATTAATGATTTGGCAACAGCCGTGTGACGAAAGAATTCCAAAGTCTCAGACGAATGCACGATGGGGTTAATTGCACCGATTAATTACACACTTGACACGGAGATTTAAATTGCATCCACAATAGTCTCAAGTGAGTCGAATTGAGAGGAAAATTCATGATTTTATTTCAGATCACCATTAATTTCAATATCTTGAATTATTACTTCATTTCTGGAGATTGTGAATTGAATTCTTCGTTCTGAAATGGTAATTGGGGTTTTGAACCCATGAAATTGATTGGAAATTGTGATTTGAGGGGGAATTCAGAGAAGAATTTAAGATGCAATGATTGGAGTAGCAAATTTACAAGAATCCAGAATCAAAATATTGTCAAATGGTTTGAACCTAGTTTATTTAATAATTATCATCAATTTTGGAGCTTTCCCCAATAAAAATTGTTGTCGAAACCCCAGAGGAATGAGAGACACTGTAGTATTTGGTACGTTGCACTGTAGCATATACCACTGAAAAATTCCCTCATCCCGGCAGGTGTAACACGAAAAAACGTGTCTCCACCTCTCACACTTAACGCTCAATAAAATTCATAATTTATCGTCCCTCACCCCCAAATAATCAACAATTCCCCAAAACTCTGAAACCTCCAAATAACCCCCCAACATCTCCCTCCCCCGCCGACAGCCACAAACCGCCCGAAAAAACCAAAAAATCTCAGTATCCCGGCGCCCCAAAATCGCGACAAAAAACCGAAAATAACAAATTGTGATAAATAAATAAAACAAGGGTAGTAAGCGATTAAAATCGCCGCATGGCAGCACCATGCAGACACATTGACAACCATCAAGAACCAAAACAGAGACCCCCGGGCCCAGACCCAGGACCAGGGGCCCACCCTCGGTAGGTCACCCAGTGGTGCCGCAACCCCTTCACCCCGAAAAAAATCCCAGCCCCCAATTAATAAAAAAAAAACAGCCCCAAAGACAACCCTTGAAAAGTACCCAGAGGCACACGCTACTCCCGACACAACGGCGACAAATCCACCAACACCTCACATAAACCACGAAAAATCGTTGTACATTAAAAAAATCACTTATTCACAAACTCATTGGACTCACTCACCGGGTTGTTTGTTGGCTATTTTATTGAAGCAATTCTGAAAAACCTCGTAGAGATGCATCGGCTCGTCGTCGCTGGCGGCCATGTTTCACCACTGATTGTTTCACACTGGGCCACGACGTGGCGCCACAGAATGGGGCATCCACCGACGAAAGAGACGTCACGCACCCAACTCCTACCTTTTATTCTATTTCTTTCCTTTTTCCCCCTGTTATTATCACTGAACAAGTTTATGTCACCTTTTATCCCACTACACTGCACCGCGTTCCTTGTGAGACTGTGTTGCGGTGCGTCAGAGACTCGCCACTCCCCCCCGCTCACTTTTCGCTGGTGGGGGGGAGAGCGACACGCGCGCCAATAACTCCGCCCGCCAGTTTTCGAAAATATTTCATTCGCACCGGACAAATATCCCCCTATGATCCATTGTACGAAATTGATTGACAAAAAAATTCAAGTGGTAAAACAATTTATTCATTTATTCCATGCATAAACATACAAACGTTCGATAAATTAAATGTAGCGTCATGAGTGAGGGGGGTAATTAATTATTCAGTACGTTAATTAAGTTCTACTGACTGAGTTACAATTTGTTCGAGGTAAAAAAATATCATTGGTGTCTTCGGCCCATGTTGGAGGGCATCAACAGGTCCTCACTGTGATTTTTCATTTTCAAGTCTAATCCATTGGTTTATTGAAATTTCGTGCGATGTGTTAGATAAACGTCTCAGTATTTTTCTTCAAACTTTTAAATACTAAATTAATCGAGTAACGTTAATACCGCTTAGAAAGTACATTTATATTAATTCTCTGATTGATCAATCTTTGATAATTTAATTTTCAACAATAAAATGACAAGACCCGCATTCGATGTTTTTTTCTTGCTTCCAGGCCCTTCAAATCCCCGAAAAATCAGCATTTTGAGGGACTGGATATGAAATATCCTCGTACTGCTGTCTCGCATACTCTGAAAAATCGAATAATGATAATTAATCATTCCTCAAACCTTACCTAGCCAAATAATTCACCTGGAAACGATTTAATTAGCATTTTCTCTTTCATTCTGATACGAACCCATACCAGGCCCCGGAGGAAACATTGCAGCTAGTGTTCCACCTCTGGCCTGTCCAATCCTCAGTAAAGAAATAGTCGTAACTATTCTGACGAGTAGATTTATGATCATAACAGCTCCACTGAATTTTTCAGATGCCCCTACAAGTTGTGGGGATACAGATACGTCTTCTGCAGCATGATCAGTGGATAATAATCATGATTTTCTTTTCATCTTACTAAAGATGCACCTCAATATATTTTTTTTCATTATGAATATTGTTGGGTGATAATTACTCACAGTTTTGAGGAAAGTACATCGACAGGGTGACTACATCGAGAAATATCGAGAGAACGTTGACGCATAGTGCCTGAAATCCAGTTATTAAAATTCCGTCAATAACGAGTTCTCGAGTTTGATTTTTCAATGATTAATTATCAGAATAATTTAATGAGAGAGTTTGATGAAATTTAAATAATCCTCACAAATTGGAGTGGTTCATCCGACTCTATATTGTGCACTGCCCACATTAAACAGACAAAAAACAGAAGATTGTAGAATAATGCGGATTGTGGACACCAGTGTCCCTGCAGACCCCTAAAAAATTCCAGATCAATGAAAAAAAATCGTCAATTCCAATAATCCATTCTACTCACCATGACGTTAAGACTAAATGAATGGCGAATATGACCTGAAATAAACAATACCGTCAGTGATAAGATTGCCAAGGATTATCTAAATGATACAATCCACTCAAAAATAATCTGTAATTTTCCCCGAATACGCCCCCTAAAAAATCCCTGATTATAGCAATGAATTCTGAAATATTCTAGTACAGACTAAACTCGCCCCAGAAATTGATTTAATTTATTTTCCCAGGGAAACCCGTCACCCGAGAGTATCACATATCATCCCCTTGGCTCGTATGATTCATGAGTGAAGCCAGGAACATGAACCACAGACACAAAAAAAAAAACAATAACAAAAAATGATATAAATAATGCATTGACTTAATGAATCACTGCGTAATTGCTAAAATTCAATTAAAACCTCAAGAAAAAAAAATTTCTGTCAAGATTTTCCGAGACGAGATGCTTCCATAATTAATTAAAAATTACTAATGACAGGTTGAGACAAAAAATAGACGCAAAAACCTCTGGTATTTACATTGAAAGAATCGGGAAAGACTGATGTAATTGTAAAAATAAAAATACCTTCAACGGAAAATGCGCAATGGCAGAAATATCCGGCATGATGGACCAGAGAATGGCTCGACACTCCAGCCAACACCTTAGCTGTCAATCTGAATTAATCCCAATTAATCCCGTGAATTATTTTCTCCCGAATCACTCGCGTTTCTTCGCGATAACTGGTAATGGTAATGACGGGTGAGAAAAATTCAGTACCTGAGTGGCGCTGACGAGATCTGAGTTCTTTATGATTCTCAGAGATGGGGACAGAGTAAGTAAAGTCTCTAAAGAGCTCTACAAGTGCTAGGAGAGTAAATAGAACTGTTCACGTGGTCCTAGTTGTTTGAGTCCCATCAAATAAAAAGTGAAATAATTTTTTTGGTCGTTTCACCGATAATTTATCATTTTTTTAGGGGTGGTTATTGATTTTTTAGATTTTTTTTGGAACCACCTGTTGGGTGTAATTGTTCTTTTTTTTGAATTGTTAAAAAAATTTCGGGGATGTTTAGATTGTTGAGGGGGCGGGGGGTGTGGGGGAGATTCAGGACTTCTTCCAGGAGATTTCATGAAGATGCTCCAGTCATTGGAACTTCTCCAGATGTTGAATCTCCAGAGTATCAGGTTAGAGTTCCAAAAGTAATTCGTTGAGTCAGATAAGAAAAATATTGATATTATCGTTTTAACTCGAGAACTATAGATGTCAAGAAAAAATGGTATGAGACTTTTCTCTAGCTGATTAAATTTCCGAGAGAAAAGGTCTTTTCATGTTTTCCCGTAAAACCAGTAGTTTTTGAGGTGATCGTCGATTTTCGACACTTCAAAATTCGACGGTTTTTTCATTTTTCCGAATTTTCTATAAATTCACAGTAGCTTGAATTAATTACAAGTATTAATGGTGGATTGAGCTAGCTGCTGTACCTACTGAGAATTTCCGGAGCAGTACGGTGTTATCTTTTCAATAAATTATACGAAAGAATTTGAATTATCGGCGGTTCGGTGACCCGGAGCGAGTGAGTTGTTTACTCGCTAGTCATTGCGCTGCAAGCCGGCGATTAAACCCTCAGAAGATAAAAAAAAATATAAAACTGAAATCCATCGCCAAAAAATTGAATTAATTCCCGATGTATTTAAGAAAATGATTGATAGCTAAAAGCAAATAATACCCCTAGGAAAATTATTACGAGCTGCAAAAACTGGTGCACGACTTGAAATCGACAGTGGAGAAAATAGTGGAGGGCGGTGAATCCAAAGCAAAAGATCGACACCTGAGCAAAGGAAAATTGCTACCGCGTGATCGTATAAACACTTTATTAGATCCTGAATCGCCCTTCCTCGAGTTTTCACAATTAGCTGGTTACGATATGTACGGGAACGACACGGTGCCAGCCGGTGGAATAATTACAGGCATCGGAAGAGTCGAGGGGTAATTACTCGTGATATTAACGATCCTCTAAATCACATGACTCACGAGTTTTGTCGTTATCCCTTGTTTGTAAAAAAAAAAAACAACTATTTCTGATTTTTACCCTCTGACTAGACAAGAGTGTGTGATTGCTGCTAATGACGCGACAGTTAAAGGCGGCACTTACTATCCAATCACGGTTAAGAAGCATCTGAGGGCACAGGAAATTGCTGATGAGAATAATTTACCTTGTGTTTATCTGGTAGACAGTGGTGGTGCTAATCTACCCCATCAGGCTGATTTGTTTCCGGATAAAAATCACTTCGGGCGAATTTTTTACAATCAAGTAATCAAAGAATCTTATACTCTCTTGAAAAATATTCCTGAACTCTCAGTAAATAATTGTTATAGCTCCTCCAAATTATTTAAATAATTTTCATTGAATTCTGTCTGAATTTTATTCTTGATTCTAATTCAGTTATCCAATGGTGAATTAATTAAGTCTAGGAGAGAGTTAAAATAAAAATTAATTGGAGGAGTTATATGCAGTAAAAATGATTAACTGCCAGAACAATTTCGCTATTCGATTAACCAGATGACTTTTTAATTGGATAATAATGATTCAAGGCGAATATGAGCGCAAAGGGGATACCACAGATAGCAGTAGTTATGGGGAGTTGTACAGCTGGTGGTGCATACGTGCCAGCAATGGCTGATGAAAATATCATAGTTGGTGAACAGGGTACAATTTTTTTAGCGGGACCACCTCTCGTCAAGGCCTCAACTGGTGAAGTTGTCTCAGCCGAGGATCTCGGTGGTGCATCACTTCATTGCAAGTAAGATGAATCATGCAACAAGGACATCAACTGTATCACGATTCATTGAATAATGAAACTAAAAGTTGAGAACAATTGAATCCATTAAACTCACCCTTATTTATAAACATTTATGCTAGTCGTAAAATTGAGAGAAAAATACCACTGAATTGACTCAATTATTTATGTCAGACGTATCAGTTGAGATGTTCCAGGGATTCAATTGAGATTTCTCTTCAGATTATTCAAACGTATTTATTATATCATTTCCACTAAATTGTCATCAAGTCATTCAACTTCGCGATTATAAATTATTCAATTCAGAATAATGTGGGATTAAATGATTAATTTATGTGAATTTTAGTTAGAGATTATTGTGAAAAATCACAATTAAATTGTTGCAAGCACCGATTTTGTTGTTGAAAATTGGAGTAAAAACATGAAGAAGAAAAAATATTTTTCACAGAATGTCTGGTGTAACTGATCATTACGCTATTGATGATACACACGCCCTTCACAGAGCTCGCACCATAATCCGTCATTTGAATCGTCAAACACCGATGGACGTGAAAATAGATAAAAATATTGAAATACCATTGCACAATGTTGATGAGATTTATGGAATAGTCGGTAGTAACTTGAAAAAATTGTACGATGTCAAGGAAGTAATTGCAAGGATTGTGGATGGTTCGCGTTTTCATGAATTCAAGGCTCAATACGGGGATACACTCGTAACTGGTTTTGCAAGGATACATGGCTATCCGGTGGGAATTGTTGCCAACAACGGTGTACTCTTTTCAGAGAGTGCACTTAAGGGTGCACACTTTGTTCAGCTTTGCGCACAGAGAAAAATACCACTAGTTTTTTTCCAAAATATTACAGGTTTGTGGTATAATTCACTTTTTATTTAAAAATTAAAGAATTGAAGGAGCTAAAGGCATCCATGAATATCAGTTGGTGAGAAAGGGAGAGGATTTTATGAAAAGGATCATTTTGTTTTCTCAAGAAACACGAACTCAATGGGAATTTCTCCAGCCTCTGAATCACAAATTTACCGAGGTTTCTAATGAGGCCATTGTCATTCACTCTCTGTTCCCTCTTCACCAATCAATTCATTTCTTCTTTAAACATACTTGTTTATCCATAAGTAAATTATGCCTGCCTTAACGCCAGTTTAAAGACAAAGTTCTTCGTCGTGAAATGATTTTGGTGTTTTCGTAGGGTTCATGGTGGGTAAAGAGGCCGAGTCTGGAGGAATTGCAAAGCACGGGGCAAAAATGGTGACCGCCGTTGCCTGTGCGAAAGTCCCAAAAATAACAGTAATAATTGGTGGATCCCACGGTGCAGGGACTTATGGTGAGTCTAATAGAATTTAATAGTATTTATCCCCTCGAAATCACTCGTGGCATTCGCAGGAAAAAACTTCTCGATTCCTTCTAGAGTCCTTGAGTGAAAATAACATGAAGATTCCTTATAAACGTTCTTTATTTATCTCGAAGGAATGTGCGGCCGTGCGTATTCCCCTCGTTTCATGTACTGCTGGCCCAACGCTCGAATATCTGTGATGGGTGGTGAACAAGCTGCTGGGGTATTAGCCCAAATAGCGCGCGAGCAGAGGGAAAGAGATGGAGGCATTTGGACTCAACATGAAGAAGATAATTTGAAGAAACCAATTATCAAACAATTTGAGAAAGAGGGGAGCCCTTACTACGCCAGCGCTCGTCTCTGGGATGATGGGGTAATTGATCCAGTCGATACGAGAATTGTTGTAGCCATGAGTCTGGCTGCTTCCCTCAATGCACCTATTCCAGAGAGTAATTTCGGAATTTTCCGAATGTAACGTCCAATTAATTTTGAAAAAACTCCATGGTAAACGCGAATTGTTAGAGAAATAATTCTTGAACCAAAAGAGGCAGTGAATTTATTGTGAAAAAAGAAGTATCCACTAAAATTAAAATATCTTTGTTAATTCCACAGATATTCGCCTTCGCGGGTGAAAATAAATTGTTACTGTTGACGTAATATTTGAAAATTGCCTTTATTAAATTCAAAAATAGCTGTTATGAAAGAGAGAATTCATAATTAATCATTAGAAATTACACTTAGAATTAATGTAATTACTCAACGACGTCGTACGACTAGTTCCTCAGCTTTCTCCACTTGCAAAAGCCAATTTTACGTAAAAAAAAAAACATGAATAGTTAAAAATGTAGCAGTCGCAGAGTGGAGAAACAATCGAGTTATTGTTTTTTTCATTTTTCATTATTTATCGTCAACATTTCCTAGCGCGACTTCGTTCGTTTGTCCTCTAACACCTATTGCAATGATTTAAACGTTATTTTAGTATCACATTAAGTGGTTGAAACATTTGGAACGCTCAGCACCTCATTCAGCAGTCAAATGAATTGGTTGAACGAGCGATAAGAGTCATGGCGTTGCTTCCGAGGAAATAAATACACCGAGTGTTCCATTTAGCTGATTTACATCTTAACTCAATTAACAATAGTCCCTCGATTCTGTTGGAGCATCATTCTTAGATTAATTTCTGAATGCAGAGGAATAGAATCGGAAAAAAACTCTGGGAAATTGCACTCGCCGCACTGACTTCTGCCTCAGTTACTTTGTAAAATAATTGCTCCTTAATCTGCTCCCCAATTACCGACTGTTCAGCTTGTGCTAATCTGCGATTCCCTTTCCTCACGAAGTGGGATAGAGCTGGATGGGACAAGATATTATTTATCATTATTTTATTATTTGTTCATTGAATTGGGTATGCGAGAGTGAATTGAGCTTACACTCATTTCCGATAGTATTCTCATCCCAGTCGACCCTCATAAATGTCGTTGTTGTATAAACAAATTTTTCATTTTTAGCATCAGAGATAATGGCTCGTCTCTTCCTACCAAATCCAGTCTGTCCACTGCTGCACTCAACCTGACCCACCAAAAATTCAACGTGTTAGTGAAAGTCATAAATTAAATTAATCAATTGGCGATAAAATCACGCAATAAATCCCTCACCCCCTCGCATCTGTCGAGACAAACACTAACGGTCGCTGTGAACTGTACGTAAGTGCTCTCAGGAAACTTGAAGGCCCTGAATTTAGCAGTGAGGAAGTCACCGTCGACAGTATTAAAGTTCTCGAAGAGATAGGGATCCACCGAGCACCTGAGCCAAAAGAAATATTTTAATATTTACCGCATTTTCAACGGATTTATTTTTTCACAGTGAAAATTATTTTGCGTTTTCTCACCCGTTGAAGATGATGGTCTCCTCTGCGTACTTGGTGTCAGTGACCTGCATATAAGTCACGAGAAGACCATAAACATGCGATGAATTATTATCCAGATAGATTTCCATCTGCAACGGTGTACCAGGGCTGACATTCAGCTCACCAGTCACAAGATTACCATTTTGTCGTACCCCAACATTTAGCAAGGGTATTGGTGCTGTACCATTTATTTCACCACGAAAATCAATGGTGCTACAAATACAAAATAATTCTTTCTTCACTATTTTTCCACTGACACTGTCAATCATTCATTAAAATACCCACAACCAGGGGAAATAAACTCTTCCTATTGCCGACAATTTCCCCTTCATCGAATATTAATTATGAAATTATGAAAATGCTTGCCGAAAAAATTCTCAGTACAAATATGTTGTACCCCTAGAATATGACGTGACGTCTGCCCTCAACCTCCTCGATAATGACGAACGAATCAATAAAATCAGGAATTTTCAATTGGTCTTTCAAGACACGACTGCACGTTTTTAATAAATCACGCGTCCTCAAACGGCTGTTGCGTGTTTCGCGGGCATGACGCGCACTCGTGAGCCTTTCTGGTTATACCGGAAGTGAGAGAAAAAAAAAAGGTGCGGAAAAATGCGGGGAGAAAACCGCCCGGAGGATCGGTTGAATGCGCCAAGGATGCAGCAATCAAGAATTGACCCACATTGCGATCGACAGAGGATCGATCGATCGTTCACACTTGTTTTTGCATAATTATCGAGTTGTGCGTCTGCAAATATCCGGTGAATGCGCATGCGAAGAAAAAATAATGGAATATTCAAATATATTTATTTATTTCATATGAATTCGATGTGTTTCTCCGCGCGTGACGTTCTCTTCGGCGTTCCTAGGATATTCAGCTATGCTCGTCATGTATTTAATCGATTATCAGCTCGTAAGCCGGCCAACAAAGCGGTACTTAGTCTTTAATTACAGAAGTTTTATGGTGATTAGTGATCGTGGGAAAAAAGTCATATCATTGAGCACTCACTCGTCCTCTTTAAATTCAGCTGGCAGAATATTTCTTCTCACAATCGTGTGGTTCCATGGTACCTCAGGATGGAGAATAAACTCAGTAACAATGCATTTTACCGTGAATTTGTGCTTCGTTGAATCATCTGGCTCCTCAACAATTATCCGGTGGTAATAAACTTTCTGACCCTGTGTAAAATAAAACAATATTTCGTGATATCAATTAATATTGATAACTCAACAATTCACATATTTTATATCGCCGCGGATATAAAAACAGCTGTTCTTCCACGTTTTTCACAGACTTGAGAAAAAACTAATTACCGTGACTTTATTAACAACCCGTGTGACCCCACACTGAGACATGGCCTGTTCCGTCAATGAGAGTCTGAAAGTGGCAACGCCATCGCTGAGAACAGGCTTGCAGACCTCATCTAGATAAAAAAAAATTCCAATCAGAAAACTGACAACGATAATAGAAAAATAAATTCCACCATACCCGGATAATTCTTCAGCTGCTGAAGATAAATTTTTGCTTGAGGGCTACTCCTGGAAATCTCCACTTCCATGGAGTCCTTGGTGCACCTGACCTTGCTCTGCACTGAACCCGATGAAAAAACGAAAAAAAAAAAAAAGATAAATATATAAAAAATTAACCCGAATAATACCCCGAATTTTCAATTTCTCGGTTTTCATCCGCAATTGATGATATCCACCGGAAATTTCCCCTCAAACTCATTAAACCCAACAAAAACCCTTAATTGTCGGACTCATCTGCACTCGGCTCATCAACTCTCTCATAAAACCATTTCAACTCGACCTTGAGAGTCATGTACATACACTACGTTAAGTACTGTTGCTTTTTATTTCCCTCCCTCCGTAAACCCTACTGTGTAATCACAAATGGATGTACTTTCACCGAGTAAAACGAAGACCACCACAACTTGGGGGCTCTATCCATCCTGCCAGCTAAGGTATCTCCCTGATTTTCAATGCATGAGATCCCCCGCGTAAACAAGCACAATAAAAATTCTGAACAACAGGAGATGAGACAAAGGGGAATGAGATTAAATCCCGCATGGTCATGTACACTTATGGAACAATTAAGTTGTTAATCCTAGCGATTGCAGACCTGAAAATCCAGCAACCATTCATTATTTATTCCACTCCCCCGAGGAAGTCCCAAATTTTTATTTCAATCTTCAATTATTTTTATCGAAAGGCAATAACAATCTGCTCTACACTCCTTAAAAAAAATAAAATTCATTCAAAAATAAGAATTATTATTTTTTGTTATCAATTTTCACGGGTGATACCGGAAATTTGAAGGAAAAATGTTGAAGAGTGTTGGATTTCATGGCAATGTACTCTTGGATAAGATACGAATGAATTCTCTCGGTGGAAATAAAAAAAGGGGGAATGGGAGATAGTGGAGGATATTAGGACTCCTTTATGACTTTAGTCTCGGTATTATTGCGAGGTCTTGTGAGGCTGAGGGAAAAGAGTAATGTTGGGGCTCTTCACTTGGCTGCACGTTACACTGGACTGATCCACGGATTTCCGGATGTTGGGTTTTGTTTTAACGAGTTATAGGAAGTTTTTTCTGGCTGAGAGATTGATAGTGGCCCGGGTGAAAAAAATTGTAATCGGAATATTTTTTTCAAAATTTCCAAAAATTTCTGGAGAACTTTTCAGAAAATTTTTTATGAAACAAAAAAAAATTGGAAAACAAAATAATTTTATATTTGGGAAACTTCTCAAAACATTCTCCAAAAATACAATTGTTTTGCTCCCGATTTTTTTTTGTCTCAAAAAAAAAAAAATTCTGAAAAGTTTTCCAGAAATTTTTTTGAAAATTTCGAAAAAATATTCCGATTACAATTTTTTTTTACCCGGGAGGTGAAATGTAATCCACACAATTGAATTAATCGGCGTCAATCAATTTTCAACGATTTTGAATAATTTTTTAATGATTTATTTTGGGACTTATTTTCACGGGATATATTCACGGGAACGAAGGGATGATAAACATGAATTAATTTAGACAGTTCTTCCCTTACATTTGTCTCGATTCGTTTTGTTATCAATGCGTTATCGTTGTAATCCATTCAGGCCTGAATAAATCTGAAATATTGAGTCTTCCAGTGCTGTTGGGCATCTGTAATTCCCCATGCAAATGAACTCCTCCGTTAATTATTACCTCAGATATAAACACGTTTGTGTATCAACGTTGGGAACCTAGGGTTTTTTTTCCCTCGGTATCAACCACCGTGAGACCAATTAGAATTGAACTGATGACAGTTAAACAAGTCACATGGAGGAAGTCTTATCACGATGGTCGCGTGCTGCAAATATCTCGAGGTGGTATGTGAGTCCTAGGGTCACAGACCGAGGGATTAAAAATCATTTGTCAAACTCAAAACTCAAAAAAACCCAATACCAATGACCCAAATGAGTCCCAAAAAAAACCCCCAACTTGAATAATCATTTAATTATTTTAATCGACGGTGATAAAATTATAATGTCGAGTTAATTGACGAATTGGTGGAAAATTGAGCAATTGGTCTTGTGTTCAGGAAATGAATTTTTCAGCGGTAAAATGTATCGGTGTAATTTATGCAGTCAACTTTAAAGATGTTAATACAACGTACATGATACGGGAGTAGAGGTTACACCGACAACTGTAACAGGATCGAAAGTTCTTAATCGATGCAAGACAGGTTGGGCTTGGAGTGATAAAAGAGAAAAGCAGGAAGCCTAACCTTACCCCCTTCATTGGTTAACGGTGAATATATTCCAGTTGGGTACCCCAACCATTTGACTTTAGAAAACATATAAAACACGAGAGTAACGTGCCGATTGGCAAGCACAAGGGGGTGGGAAGGGGATTACAACGTTAGGTACTGTCACGGTAAATCACTGATCATCGAAGAAATCCCTTTTCACGATTTATTTCCTTGTACTCGTGGTCTTCACAGACCTACGAATACTTTCCTCCCCTTCAATATTTTTACCGATTTATTGATTACCCCGTAATTGATTAATTGCATCGACTCATTCTTATTTTCATGATCAATCGACTTTTTTTATTCAATTTATTACCCATTTTTCCTAATAAAATCGATTTATTGAATTTTCATATTTCAGACTTGAACCTGAAAAATTACGATAATTGAATAATAAATAAATAATCCTCGTGGAAAAAAATACTTCACAGACGTGAATGTATCTAATACATTTTGATATATGTTTCATGTATGAGAACGTACATATTTCTGCGAGGGGAAGTCATCGGAATGGTCTCGGGGGATTTTTACAATTTACCGACTAAAAAAAAGTAGAAAAAATTGAAACTATAAACGCATTTATCTCTCGAGTTGAGTCAATCCCAGAATTCCAGAGGAGCTTAAATCCATTCCTGTTCTCTCTTCCCTGGAATTCGGTGTGCAAGTCGAGGGGATATGGGGGGAAGTAAAGAGGAGGAATAGGGGGAAAATACTGAGGCCATCGTTTATCTGCACAACTCCCTTCGACACTGTAATCTATGGCACGGAAGCGTGCGGCATACACGAGAGAGCCAAAGGGCTCCATAACATCAAAAACATTTACAAGAATTTATACATCAGACATAAGCCCTTCTCAAGGTCCCCATTATTTATACCTATTCGAATAATTGAGTAATTAAAATTTAGCTACCGTTTAATCGTTCATAATGCCAGCTAGAATATTTTCCTCATTCTCCATGAAATTACAATTGCGGTTTTACGCGATAATCATGAGAAGCAGCTGCAATACCTCGATATTGATGATTATCCCGGTAAATACACCGGGACTTATATATTTTTATGTGTTTAAAGGGTATGGGGCACAACGGGCACCTCACAGAGGGAATAATCGGTGTTTGCCGATAATTAATGCTTTTCTGGTAGATTAATATCAACGATCCGCGTAATAACACCGGGATAAATCGGTTACTCTCCCCGTTATGGACATTATTCCATTTTTTTTTTTTTTTTCATTCAAGTGCTTTTCACGTTTGAAATCAATGTTATTATTATTAACCGTTCGCTCAAGTGGCTGCAATGTTACACCTTATGAAAACCGATCCTCATGTCCCACGGAAGCCACGTAAACTGTAATAAAGTTCAGCAAGCCCGTAATTTACGTGGTCTCGGTATTTTGCAAGTCCATGTTTCAGGATCGTTCGGAGATTGTGCTTGAAATAATTCTTCCAAAATGTTTGGGGGGATTCAAGGACTCCGTTTATTACACGCGTTGAAATAAATATTAACCCGAAGAGAAAAAATGAATAATAGTAATAATAATAATTACTGAAAAACTGTGGAAAATTGAATAAATGTAAAATTTAAAATTCAGTGATTCGAAAAAATCGAGAATTTTTTTTTCTCGGTGTTGTTTGGTAATTATTCTGTTCTAGTTCATTGCGGAAAAATTCTAGACTTGTTGGATAATATATTTCATGGTGGAGTGACACATATGTTCGGGAAGAAAATGTGTGATGAATTCCGGTATTTTTTTCTTCGAGAAAATACGAATTATTGAAATTTATGGGGATCTAACGGGACCACACGCATCCACGGATGATCTCGACATGACTCTTCATTTATCGTAAATCATTGGAGTCTCGATGACGTGGTCAGGGTGTCCGAGGGCCGAGGGTGTTCTGGAGCAACTGATGTGCAATTAGAGGTGTTGCGATGATTAACGAATTGAGTTACGAGAATATTTTTATCGCACGAGCAATCGAAATTCTGAAAATCACCAGGTGTTTTTTTTTTCCGACGCATCCTCTCGAAACGGCCGATGACATTCAGTTCATATCTTCAGTTCAGCTCTTATCTCTTCCATTTATGACAAGATCGTGCCCACGCGTGTACCAACCAGTGAAAGTGGTATTGGTCGTGTGTTTTTAACCCCTTCCTTCGATTGCAACTCTCGATAACGAGCGGTGACAACTCGCATCACACGTGAGTCGGTATAATTTTTTTTTTTTTATTTAAACCTAAAGTACTCGTCTACTCGGTGAATAATAGTGACAGAAACATACCGAGTTACTGAGGAAACAATTAAAACGTAGATCAGATACGTGACGTGAGTATCCTCTGGAAAATATATTCCAAGGATTCGAGATGAGAGAATAAACTTGGTGCGAGACTACAGGAAGTCACATCGCCAGTGCTGACTTTTGGGACATCGAAGTTCATGAATATTTTCCAGTTTCGTCCCCGCAGGGGAAAACATACCGTTACTCAAATATTGAAAGTGATGTTTGCTCAGTCCGCCAGTTTTTTTATTCCTCTGAATATTTTCCCTCCATCCAGAAATATTTTCAAAAATATATTTTATAGAGGAATTTTCCCCTGGTAATTGCGGCGGAAAATTCAAAGGGTCGGATGCAAATGAAAATGGAATGGTTTGCAATTGCATGAATTGCAAAAACATTTATTTGCTGAGAATTTTTTTCTTCGAGTGCAGTTAATGGATACGTAACTCAAGGGAAACACCTACAGAAAATCAGTGAATTCGTGGTATGATGGGGGGAGAAAAGTTGACCCGTTGGACTTTCTGGTTCTGGTATCCGCCATATTTGGCTGCGTCCAATGGTTGAGTACACGCCTCTGTGTTTCACAATCTTTTAGCACAGTCATACCCACGTCCACGCATTCAACTCACGCGCGTCACAGGTCGTCTGCCTTTTTATTTCTCATTCCTTTTTCCTTTTCTCTCTCTCCTCTTTTTTCCATTTTCTTTTATTTTATCCACTGAATAGTCAACGGCAAACCGAACGCGCCATCCACCGAAGTTAAAAAAGTAGACGAGAAAGATTATGAAAATTGATAAATTTTCGGATTAAAAATCCGGTATTTACGACAATAATCGTAAAATAAACGCCGATGGAAGGAATATTTATGTCGAGGCTTTTGTGCACCTCCCGGCTATTATCATTCTTATTTCAATAATTTTTTTATTTATTTATTATACATGTCGAAGAGAGTAGATACTCTTCCGTGAAACATCAACGGCCTCACCCACCACCCCAGGTGGTTTCACTCGAGAATAATCTCCCGGTGAGAATAAAAATCATTTTCTTTTTATCTGACATTTTATCGAGCCTCGGTATTTCGGAGGGAATTAATAGCCGATCAACTCCGCATTTTTACCATTATCATATATCCATGGACATCTGCTGAATAAGAAAATTGTCAAAAGATAATGATGACTTTTGATTTAAAGCCGAGGGAATAGGTGAATATGAAAAATTTTCAGGGTGACGACAGCCTCGAGATGCACCTGAATTTTAATGATTTTTTCAGGTGATGTTTTTCAGGTGTGCTATTTTTATAGGTTCTTATCACAGAATAATCCGAGAATCGTGCGGTGTGTGCTAGAACAAACGGTATAAATTACCCGTATCAACGATGAGCGGTTCAAGAAATCCCATGCGTCCATCAAATTGATCGCGGTCACGAAAATTGTTTGCGCCTGTAATCGACGTTATATTGCCCCCTCGGGGCGTTATTCCGACGCTCGTGCGAAGGTAAAACATATTCCAATGTGTGCCGGATATATTTTTCATCGGGTGACGGCACGCGAGAGCCTCCACCCACCAAAAAAAAGAAAAGAAAGAAAAAGCGAAAACTCGTATTTTCCCCGGAGAACCGACAGGAAAAAAAAAACAAGGAAAAAAAAATAAGAGGGAGGAAAAGAGATGGTTCACATCGGATGGTATCAATTCGATTGTTTAACCGGTAAAAATCTTCAGGTCGTATTCTTCATTCTTCCCTCTTCTCATGTTTATCTTTTTATTTTGTCTCTGTCGAATGTCCGGGACCCGATAGCCAACCGGTTATTCTCTCTCGTCGGTTTTTTTTTATCCAACTTCTGGCCGCCCTCATAATCGCCACGACTCGTGCAACTTCGTGCATTCTCGATTCACCATCTCTCTCACCTAGTCTCATACAATTTTTTTTTCTCTACCATATAAAAAAAAAAGAAAAAAACGTTAACCATCGGTTGATGCATGGTTATGCACTGGGTTCACCACGTGGCTACCATACGGGGAATGGATAAAAGTGAGACGGTGGAAAATACCTCAAACCCATTCCAACTACTGTTTATATCCACCTTTTTGAATTTCCCTTTCACGTTGGGGAAATATCGTGCGGTTTACCACTTACATGTACGCATATAGTCATTGCGATGGGGGAGGGAGAGAGGGGAGAGGGCAAATCGGCTGGTGGTAATTGAAAACTCGAGTCGTCCTCGACACTCCCCGGTAACGGAGAGAATAAATTAGTAGAGGAGTAATTTAACTCGGATGAGAAACAAAAAGGTGGTATTTGATTTTTTTTTTTTTTCATCTTGGGTTGGTTATGAGGCTAAGGGGATACAAATCACACTGGACCTCCGGGGTGGTATCGTAAATTATTTTTTCCGGCATTATTGAGTCCCGGGGAATTAGCGATTGGATTTTAAAGAGTCTCAATCATAAAAACAATCTTGGTGAATCCAGTGGAGATTTTTTTTATTTTTGCCCCCACCAAGCTTCGAGACGATATGCTTGGCTCGTTTTCTTATCAGATTAATTTCCATGGATGTGGAAATTAGGGCCCTTGAACCAGAGAATCATCCACCGGAAAACCTTTCTCCGTCTTCTGTACCTCGTCGACTTGTGAGGTTCTTTGACCAGTGACTCATCGATTTTTTTTTATCGGAATTGGATGGCATTTCTCCATTGAAAGTACAGTTGAACCAATTCTATGGTCATGAAAAATAACCCGAATCCATCATCGAGAAGAGGATCTGTCTCGCTCCAGTAATTTCCGAGATGAGGATGTCCTTCAATGAAGAAAAAATTTCTCAATCCTCAAATCGTTTCAATTCATCCACTTCTCCTTCCCCCTCGAGCGCGCAAATCACTTGATTACGCGAATCACAGAATTGCCGGCAATTCCCTCCCCCTGGAATTTCAATTACCCCCATAAGTGGAGTAAGAAAATCCCGAGTATCGATAGTGCCCGGTTAAAATAGCAAACGCCTCGAATGCCTGTTGCTCGCAGGCCAGACATTCGGTGCAATTTCAACCATGGAAAATTGCCATCGCTTTCTTGGCCTTCCCTTTTCAAACTAAAACGCGAATTCCTTCTGTTCCCTTCGGCGTTTCAATTTTTACTACCCCCTGTATCCCCGGAGATAATAAGTGACGCGACTAAAATAAAATCACCAGAACAGCCGGAAAAATTTCCAAATCATAAACTAGATAATTAAAATAAAAATTCGTCAGATAGAAAATCGTCTCCCTCTTCAACGCAAAATGATAATTCCTTTTGTTTTGCTTTTAGTCTCAACTTCTTCTGTTCCCCGCAGTTTTTCCCCCATTTCTTGTAATTCAGAATCAGATCCATTGGGAATCGCTCACAAGTGACAGAATTAATTGGCGACAAGAGATCCACTCAACCAGAAACAAGAAACCGAATGAAGACGCTATAAACACCTGTGAAGTATAACTCAACCCGTGATAACTGTCAGTTAAATCTCAAGGCTAATTGTCCAAAGGATACGTCAGCTTAATTACCGAACACTTGATACCACCATATTTGCACGGCTTATCGGCAGTGACCAATCAAACTATTTTCATTACAAATGAAATAAATAAAAAACAACATCTCAACCATTTACTTTCACTTTACGAGGGCTCCATAGGAGAGGAATCGTTGTGTATAATTTAAAACCAGTTTTCGCAGGACTTCTCTCAGCCTAAAATAACTCTGACACCACAGAGAATAATCTCAAATATTGTTCAGCGTATATATCTTACCATTTCCAAGTGCGACACATGTGATGCACGTCAAGAGCACCAAGATACTCCAAAAGCACTTAGCACCCATTATGCAATTGCTCAGAACTTGGTTAAACTCGAAGTCAATGGGCTTTCGATGAATATCCAATCAGACGTATCATTTATGAACCGATCACCGCCGATTGCTCCAGCAGTTGTTTTATCCTTCTTATAATTACAATGGTCTCCGATAATTACTGATAATTGGAAATATCCGTGAAGGGGAGGGGAATTAATGGGGGAAGGACGCGTATAATCACGCGATTGTAGCACTGAAATGTTGCTGCGATGCTTGCTGGTCGAGGTCGCAACAAACACTGACTGAGTGACTGTGAACGGTTTGTGTGGCTGGCTAGCTTGCCAAGTCAAGTCTGGGGGATACGTTCTGGTGAAATACGAGAAAGTTGGTGTATACCAATGACATTCATTGGTGAACAATAGAAGAACAAGAGTGACAACTGCATCAGACCCAATAAATAAATAAAAAAAAGGGAGTATATTTTATTTCAGCCTGAACGTTGGTCTCTCGTTAACGAGACATTTATGATCACGTAATAATCAGGTTATTCGTCGATATTCGCGGTTGTCACGATTTATTTATGATTTTATTTGCTTCACTTTTCTCTCAGCCCCATCATATCCTCTGAGTTGCCTTTTTGACACTCGTGCCCGTGTGCCTGGCTTTTTATGGGCCTCAACCGATGGCCCATGAGTCACAACTCAGCAACATTGTAGGGTCCCATCGGTCACTGCAGCTGAAGGCCCCTTTCTCAATTTGTCATTGACGCATGAATGGGTTGAAACTTGGAATAGTACGTTTCACTGGGATATACCGTTAACATCGATACAAAGATTTTTCCTTTTTTTTCTCTTCTCTCACATTGATGAAATAGTAGCACCATCGCTATTGAACAATGCGAGTTCGTTTGAAAAGTGTGGAGTTGTGGTTGGCGCGTTAATCCAGATGATACTAATCAGGGTACCTCATTAAGACCTTCTCTTCTTTATTTCACGTTGTAATACACCCTACGACTTATACTTAATTACACCGGGCAACTAATAATGGAAATAATGTTGCACACGTTACCACACGCGCGAGTTCCTTCCCTGAGAATGTTTTTTATCCCCTAAAGCCGGTAACAGGCTAATAATAATGTGAAGGTCTTGGAGACAACACACGAAGTAACCAAATTAAGTGGAGATCCCACATTATATGGTTATTGAGATTAATCATCGCTGTGATGAAGCAGGAAGAAGAAATGTGATATCTCAAACATATTTTTTCTTCTCAATTAAAGAAAAAGGCATTTAGATATCCGTAAAAGCTGATGATTTAATGTTTATCTATTCACGATTAGACAAGAAATATCCTCAACAAGTTTTACCGACTCTTTATTCAACAAACTACAACATAAATTATTTACATAAATTTCAATGGTTCGTAACAATAATTATACATCTTGTATTTACATCACAGCAACTATAAAAATTGTAGCCAGTATTGCGCCAACGTTTGAGCATGATATCGATGTCGTTGAGGATTTGACTGGCTGTTTATTTAGTACCTGACACTGAGAATTTCTGAAGTGTTTGACATTGCCGATGGAGTCTCGTGCTAGTACACACAGTTCATACTCAGCTTGTGATTCCGGTATGTCTTGTATCTTGTAGGATCTCTCTTTGTACACAATGTCTTTCTCAATTATCGGTTTACTTCCTCCTGGTTCACGTACCACTAGGTAAAAATCGCCGATATCACCACGCGATGTCACGTACCACGTTATTTTCCAAGAGTTGTCGTCTTCATCGCTGAGAACATTAAATACAATTTCTTCAGAGTTCATTATGGGTTTTGTGAGTTATTTTTTTTTTATGTAGGAGATTATATTAATGTTGTCATATTAATTTCATAGGAGAAGACCGGTGTTACTTACTATTCAATGTGTCGGAATTTAACGTCAGGTGTTATCTCTAAATCTGTATTTTCCGCAATCTCATTCTCCTCGCAAACCATCAACTCTTCAGTTACGTTTTGAAGAGCTTTTCCGGCAATATAATCGGGACTTGCACAAACAACATTTCTCCAATGACTGGGGACTTCTGTTAGTGTTGCGATCCATCTCTTGATGGGTCTCGCGTGGCAGTCGCATTTCAAGGGATTCCCTTCGTATCTCACTTCCGTATTATTAGTGATGAGCATCATGAAGTCCAGATCGAAATCGGATAAGTCATTAGTTTGAACGTCTAAGAGCTTGAGCTTATCCATTGGTAGAAATTTTTTAACGGGTAGACTAGTGAAGTGATTGTTTCCGAGGTAAAGATTTGTGAGATTTTCCGGTGGTGTGAATACATCTTTCTCGAAAATATCGGTGAGATCATTGTGGGACAGATCGAGCGTGTGAACTGCCGTCATATTACCGATTACATCTGAAAATCAAATTATTCGATGAGAGGACTCATGAAAATTCATGATCACTACCTACTTACGCCTTCGGATTTCGTTGATATTGTTGTGACTGAGATTCATATAGCCAACTTTTTTCGTACCAATCGTTATATCATACGTCAACACCGGCATGGAGTTGTACGACAAATCAACTTCCTTGAGCCTATAAGGTATATAAGGATCATTGGGAAATGTTTTTCTGGTGATGAATGAAAATTTGTTGTGACTGAGATTGATACGCTCGAGAGATAAACAATCGTCCAACAATCCGTGTGTCTTGTTATCCAACTTCTCTATATGGTTGTGGGACAGGTCTAAGGTTCTCAAGGACACGAGACCCTGAAATGCACCGTTGGGAATATATCGAATGTCATTGTTAGTCAAATTAAGCGTGAGCAGCTGAAGGAGTCCCTCAAATGCTCTTCCACTGAGATTCTTGATGTTATTGTTGGCTAAGTTGAGCTCGAATACGATTGGTAGAAGACCAAATGCTGATTTACCGAGACTCGTTAAGTGATTATCTTGCATGTAGAGATATTGAAGACTGGTTAGAGTGCTCAGTGCTGCCCAAGGGGGCAATGTAATATTGTTCCCCCGAAGATTTAGAGTTCTCAGAGTTAATAGAGGTTGAAAGCTTCCATGTTGGAGGCTATCGCCCAAGCGATTCATCGAGAGATCCAGAGATAGTAATGCATTCATGGAGGGCCAGACATCAATCGTTGGAATTTCCTCCAGCTCATTCTCGGAGAAGTCCAGGTGGCCCAGGGGTATTGGCAATTGGAAAATTTTGTTGAGCTTGTTATTTTTTACAGTGAGAGTTTGGCAACTTGAGAGACGAGCAAGACTGCCTCGGGCTACGTCCGTCAATCGGTTGTGGCTCAGGTCGAGGTGCAGCAGCGTTGTCAGGGGACCGAATGTTGATGGTCTGATCTTCTCCAAAGAGTTGTGGGATAAATTGAGAAATCGCAAGCTGAAGAGAGTCTGGAATATTCCGTTATGAATCTCCGATAAGTTGTTGTATGCCAGATCAATCGTGTGGAGTTCATATAGTTTTGGAAAAGTCTGTCTTGGAACTGATTGGATATTATTGTGCGTGACATTCAGCACTTTCAGACCAGTCATGTTGTGCAAAGGGACCTGAACAGTTCAATTTTAAATAAGATAATTATCAACCGGTTTCTAAATGTCATAACGTAACACTGGATTATATTTGAATTACCTGATTTAGTGCCGTTAATAAGTTATAGCTCAGCTGCAATTCAGTTGCATATGTTGAGCTATCAAATGCATATTTCGAGATGTTGTCGAGTTTATTGTAACTGAGATCGAGAACTGTTATGTTGGCGCAATTCTCAAAGGCGCCGGCTTCAATCTTCGATATCTCGTTGTGAGAGAGATTAACACGCGCTAGAAATAGATCCTTGAAGGCTAATTTCTCGATAATAGTTACGGCATTTTCCGAGACGTCTAGGAGTTCCGCGTATTGTAGTTGATTGAACATTTGGAAATCAATTTTTTTTATGTGATTTCTCGCTAGATCGATGGTACCGATTCTCGTGACAGAGCCGAATGTGCCTCTGCCGACGTCATTAATCTGATTATTACTCAGGAATAATCTTCTCAGGAATCGCATACCCCTAAAGGTATTTGAATCCAATTTTCTGATATTGTTGTGACTGAGATTCAACACTTTCAACACTGAATTTCGGGCGAAAGTTCCTCGCTTGAGCTCGCCAATTGAATTTCGAGATAAATTGCACCATCCCATCTTGGTTAAATCAGCCAGATGGGACGGGTCTAGTTTGCTGATTAGATTATCAGAGAGATCCAGGAATTCAGTGTCCCTGAGGCCTTTGAACTGGTTGCGCTTTAGTTCTTCAATTCGGTTCCCATGAAGATCAAGGGACTTCAGCTTTTTCAAGGGTGTCAGAGCGTCTGTCGGCAACGATGACAATGTCCCATTGCTTATTTCTAATCTCTCTAGCTTGACAGCTGCTAGACTTCCACTGAAGCCATTCCCAGGGAGAGCCGCTAGATTGTGTCCCGAAATAATCAACTCCGAGAGATTTCCCAGTATTTGGAAAGCCTCTCGCGGAAATTTTTCCAATCGACTGCCAACGAGCTGGAGCTCTTGGAGTGTTCTGTTCACTCCCAAAAAGCTGTGCTCTTCAATCGATTTCAATGGGGTATCGATGATTCTCAAAACGCGGACGTCCAGAGGATAGAGCGCCGGTCCATACCATCTGACTAAAAATTATGGTACGATAATTGATAATTAATTGATAATTACTTTCTATTTGAAGGGTGAACTCCTTTTACCTATGTCACTCTTGTAGATCGTTAATTCTTCGATCGGCGCTGGTTCGTTACCTAAATTAACAAAGGCCAGACTCAAACTGGCCAAATTGGTATTTTCACATCTTATGTACAATCCTTGATCGGTTCCTCGTTGACAGGTACATGGATAAATGTAGATCGGCTCCTTGGGGCAGGTATATCGTGGTCCTGGTGGCACGTAGCCCCCAAGTACTACCGGGATGAACCCCAGCAAGAGAAGTTGGAGAAAAGACATCATTCTGGGGGTATCAATCACACCTGATATCATCTCTAATTTTAACTTCACCTCGACCGCTTCTTTTTTCATATTTCATGGAGACGTTGCCTTTTATGTTATTGTTCTCGGCCTACGCGTTGTGATTCACACGGAGGAATTAATATTGAAGATGGATGAGAAAAAAGGAACGCGGGGCCAAACAATGGACTAGTTTCAAGTCTACTAATGCGGCCAATCAACCGCCAGTTTTCCTCGAGCATTGTCTTTAGTGGATATATATATTATATTTTTTTTTTCTATGAAAATAGTCTCGGTCTGCAATTTGCGCAATTGTTGAGAGTGATGGTAGGCGGATACATAGACACCGACGGGACTGTACCCGTTATGCTTGGCTGAATAAATATATGCGGCCCAGCGTTTTATACGTCAGCTACTTGACATTAAAAATGGTAATAAAAACCGAGTTATTCAATCTGATCTGAACATAAAATTGGAGCATTTCACATATAAGTTGCTCCGGAAAGGAGTGGAAAAATATATTTGTGTTCTACTTCCCTGGAATTATGAGCATAATTGCAGGGAAATGAGAGCGCGATTAACGTCACGACAGATTTAGACATGAGATACGTTTGTTTCCGCGGAGTTTACATATTGTTTCCCTCTGCTTTCCTTCCGTCGTTTTTTATTATTCGGTGTTCGCATTCTTTCGGGAGTTTGGGTCAAACCCGACGACCTTGGGAGGACATCCGTGAAATTGATCAGCTGATAACTCCGGGGACGAAAATTCTAGTTGAATAGCTCGATTTAGATTCTTGAGGAGATCGCCTATCCGTGCATTGAAGTCACCGCGCGGCTAGCTCTCAAAGTTGAATGACACATATTTAACACCTCATCTAATCCCGATAAGTGTCAATAAAAAATTACCTGATCAATACGGTTGGGGTTTATCACATCGGAATGACTTCCTCGTGTCCGTACCAATGACTTTATCATCAGTTTTTCACATAATTTTTTCGCGGATTAAATGGACAAATCACAATTGAAACATTTTAACCGATGGTTGCAGAGTGAAGTTGATACGGCAACTGAGCGCGCCAGGAGTTGAAAGCCAGAAGGCTAAAGAGAAAGGCCCGTTTTGGTGAGTCTGAGGCCCATTGGCTAGACCTAACGTCACTGCTCCTTTCTTTTTTTTTCATATTTACGTCTCCATCATTAAATTTCGAATGTGAGTATCGGTTGGGACCAATGGAAACTAGGTATTACGCTGAAGTATCAATTTAACTGGCATGTAGGTTGAAATTGTAGAGGAGAGAACTTTTCCATTGCCCTTTCCAGGTGAAAGTGAATCAGTGAAGGTAGATCACGATCTAAACTGAAGGATCCAAGGTCGATTAAACTTCTCATCCTTCAGTTGGTACTGACGGTCCTCTCTTTATCCTCAATAGGTAAACTCCAATAATTTTTACTGATAATTGACCATTGAAAAAAATAGCTATGTGAAGTTGGCATCGAAGTTTGAAAAATCTAACTTTTTTT